GTGCTCTTCCGATCTCAGTTTTCTTAATCAGTAACTGATGAAACTGTTTCAATATACTGATTGTACTGTCATCAGTACAATGAACAGTTATCCATCAGTTAATACTCAGTTTTTTTTATCAGTTTTAACTACATTTTTTCTTAAGGGGATGCAAAAAGAAAATACTTAGGGTGAAGTCACATGGGATGCGGAACGTTCGTGATTGGTAGTGGCTCACACCGCCGATTCCGCCGTTTTCCGCAAGTTTATTTTTTAACGGATTCTGCCGATACGTGCATGTGTGCGTATGCATGCTTGTAAAGTTAACCTAACTAACGAAGCTACCTAAGTTGTGTTTTAAAATTCACTGTTAGCACTGAAAATCTATAGCTTATAATTTATATTACATGCATTATAAATTTTCAGTACTGATAATGAATTGTAGAACACAGATTAGGTAGCCCAGTCCTAATTGAAATTCAAAAAACTTACATAAAAGAGGCATATTTATTCGACATGTGGAATGCTCAGGAAATCGTAAGTTATTATATTCTAATATTAATAATTAATAATTGATTATTATTATATTAATTGTAATTTAACTTGGTTTTTTGTTAAAGTTTATTTAATTAGATTTTGACATACAGGAATGTAAGGTTATAATATAATTGCTTTTTGTTATTTGCATTAGGGTCGAAAATGTGGTTATTGTAGGTATTTTATCCCACAATTTTCCGATTTAATGAAACATTCTTGTTTTTATCCATTTGACGAAGACATGCATGCATTGAAGGTGGATGAAAATTTTGTAGTTACTGTGAGTAAATGTTATAGAGCGAAACAAATTTATATATTATTTGCATATTATTTATAATTTATCAATGTTTAATATTGTTTTATTGTAATAATAGAACGTAATTTCATGTTTATTTATGCTATAAAACAATATTAAACATTGATAAATTTTGACAGTGGTAAAGTATAATCATTTATCACTATTAAATATTGTTTTTGTAGCATTGATAATTCGCTTGCACAATATTGTTTATTTATGCTTTGATTGTACTAATTTAATTCAAATTATTTATATCGAATTTATGCTTGTTTTATTCATTTTGTAGTACTAAGAGAAGACTATGCAGATGATAATACTTTGTCCCAAGCTGCGAATAGTACATGTCAGCAGACATGTAATGTAAATAATGATACTGATGGACAACAGCAAGTGCAACAGCAAGTTGATAACAGTGACGAATTATTAATTTCGTGCGTGGCTCGTAAGCGAGCATTATTCGACCATCGAATACCTGCAAAAAAAAAGAAGTAATTTAAAAAAAAGTGCGCAGTGGCAGGAAGTATGTAACCTAATGAGAGGTTAGTTTAAAAATTTTGTCCAAGTAAGACTACAGAAACAAGTAATAATTGATTAACCCTTATGTGTACAACCGGGTATCCATGTATCCACCGCGTCATATTATTGCTCATAACTTGATTAAAAATTGAAATATCGATTTGTCCCTCCGGATCCCCATTATTTAACTCTTTTAGAATATAAAACCACTAACATAATTTTTTTTTTCAACTTTTTTTAACCTAAACTACATGA